GAGAACCAGGGCCTGCGATCTAGCAACTTCTGCTAGTTGCCAGAAGAAAGCCTCGTCCACCTCATCCCCCTCTAATTGTTTTATAATTGGTTCCTTGAGGACCTGCTCCATGATTTTTCCAGGGACTGAGGTAAGGCTGACTGGCCTGTAGTTCCCCGGATCCTCCTCCTTCCCTTTTTTAAAGATGGGCACTACATTAGCCCGTTGAGTCTCGCTTCCATAACTCAGCACTGTGATGTTACTGAGCTGTGCGTACTAGCAACAGAACTGCAGATCTGTTAGGGACAGAGAGAAATGTCTCTCCAGCTGGGTAACATCCCTCATAGTGAGGGTTAATCCGCGGGTAGAGTGTGTCCTGGCAAGGCAACAAGGAGTCCGGTGGCACCTTAAAGGCTAACAGATTTATTTAGGCATAAGCTTTCATGAGTAAAAAACCTCACTTCTTCAGATGCATCAAGAAGTGAGGTTTTTTACCCACGAAAGCTTATGCCTAAATAAATCTGTTAATCTTTAAGGTGCCACCGGACTCCTTGTTGTTTTTGTGGATACAGACTAACATGGCTACCCCCTGAAACTTGATTCCTGGCAAGGCAATAAAACATAGCATTTCTACTGTGGTTCTGCTCTCCTGAGTGTTGTACGTACACAGCCCACCAGCTCCTCTAGTGTAGGCTTGCAAACGGCAGCAGCCACCACAAAATCTTTCCAGCAGAGCTGTAGACATTGTGTGGGAGGGCCGCACAGTGGGTGGGCCATTGGAAATAGCTCTAGAGGCCTGCTGGCAAAAAGCAGCGGAGAATCGGAGTAAAATAATGACCTGAAAAGAAAGCACTGAACATGCTGACTGAGCAAGGAGATGACTGAGGTGGCCTCAGTGTACACAGGCTCCCAACAAGAACAGATAATGTTATTAGCAATGAGGGGAAGATGAGTATGATGGGAGTTGGGTTCTGTCATGGTCAGCATCATTACCCTATTTGCCACATCACCTGGATAAAGGGATCCTGTACCCAAATGCAAAGAGCCAGTACAGTCACAGCATATCAGGCAGTTTAGCCCTTAAAGGTGGTTCCTGTTTTAGAGCTGTGGCTACCCGAAGTCCCATCTTCCCACTCATCAAGGAAAGCCCTTATTGATGGAGCACATGGTGGCAGGGTCTGCCTAATCTGTTTGTAGCCAACCTCCCTCATAATCCACACTGGGCTGTGCCATGAATGCTCCAGGAAAAACAGGAAAGTCATGACTGGAATTAACAAGATCCTGGTTTTACAGTCCTGTCCAGGCCCAAGGAGTTGAATGAGCTGAGTGGTAATCTCCAGACCAAAAAGAACAGTCAGACCCTGCACACTTCCAGAATCAGCCATGTCCTCGCACTAAGAAGGAAACATCTGGTGAAAATTGCCTCTAAAAGCAAATCTCTCTTCCGTACTTGATCTACTCTGCACTGCTACTGGCAGGAAGTGGGCTGGGGTTTAGGTCCTTTCTGGATGGGAGTCCTGTACTGCTGTTTCTCATGCTTGGGTTCCTTCCACCTTCCCCTGAGTTTCTGTAAAACAGTGTTTGCTATATCGCTGGGCATGGTAATTCCAGTGATCTGAGTGTACCTTGCTTCCCTACCCCTTCCCTATTTGCCTGTGTGATGATGGGCTATACTTAGACCAGGTGCACCACCTATGGTGAAATGCATGTTCTAGAGGGTGACACAGTTCACAGCTCTATCTGCACTGGAGTTATGGAATAATAGCCTTTTATCATCATTTTCTTTAAAATTGTATAGAAAATTCAGTCTTTCCTGGAAGAATTTCCGTGCCAAATGTGGGGATTCAATTTAATCATTAAAGCATAAAACAGATTTCTTCCTGTTTTAAGGGCGAATGTAGAGCAGCTTTAATTAGTCTTGGCACTGGCACCTCCAGTGTGTCAGTGTGTAAAATGAGAGTGCTAATAAAACATAAGGATGAGGCTTTTTTTAAACAACTAACAAAATCATCCCAAGCACAGGACTTGTGTCAGGGTGGTTGAACACTGGAATAAATTGCCTAGGGAGGTTGTGGAATCTCCATCATTGGAGATTTTTCAGAGCAGGTTGGACAAAGACCTGTCAGGGATGGCCTAGATAATACTTAGTCCTGCCCTGAGTGCAGGGGACTGGACTAGATGACCTCTTGAGGTCCCTTCCAGTTCTGTGATTCTATGATAAAAGAAATAAGAGATCAAAAGGCCCAGGAGGGAGGAAGTGTACAGATAAAAGGAGCTCTATTGGCAGGCACTGCTGTGGGATGCACATTGGGGATGGGGCACCTCACTGCCTGTTGGAGGGGAAGCCTCTCCAAACGTGTTTGGAATCATGGATTCAGTGTTAAACTATAAAGTGGCTGGTGCTTCATGCTGGGAATAACGACAGCCCTTGTTCTGCTGAGTTTTAAGGCATTTGATTTCATTTCGGCATTTTAGGCCTTCTGCCAGTAACCAGTGCTTGCAAAATGTACTAGTGGATTACAAATATCTTGTGTCGGTATGTCCCCGCCCCTCTCCTCCTTTCATAGCCAGGTGCATGCTCAGCTTGGCTGCAATCCTTGCCTGCTTCACTGGCCTGTGCTAACTGGTTTGCTGTCTGCTAGAATATCCTCAAGCTCAGTCTGGTCTCCTTCTCTTCCAGGATGATGCACTCTTTGAATGAATGGTTATGGTGGCATGAGTACTGGCTTCCCCCAGGAATCACCTGGGAAGACATGAAGGAATCTGAGGACATCCATTACCCTCAGCCTCAAGATCTCCTGCTCAGCATCCCCTGTACCCTGCTCTTGATTATTATCCGGTACCTCTTTGAAAGGTGAGTCTGTTTCCCCTGTTGGCAATTTGGGCCCTGCAACTGGGAGCCAAAATGTGGCCAGTGGACGTTCCGGGTGTGGCCCACAGAGACTTTAGCTTTGAGCATGTGCTGAGACAGTTGTATCATTATTCTCCCAATAGTACCTGGCACTTCACAATCTAGAGAGTGCCAAACAGAGAACGCAAACTCTGCCTCGAGGGTCTAACACTCAACAGCATTCCCACCCCTCTTCAAAAGCACCTAGAAGCCTTTTTTCCTCTTGTAGTGTTTATAGAATAAGCACTGTTGGTCCTGGTTTAGTTTTTATGCTTGTGCTTTAAAAGCAGATATAATATTGCGTGTTTGTGTTTGTTCTCTTGCACCTTATCGGCTGCTTCTGGGCCCAGAGCACTATAGACGTAAAGTTAGATTATCCAGGTAGTGTCTGCTATAATTAAGGCTGTAAAATAGTTTCCCTTTTCAGATTCTCAGAACTTTTTGAAACTGTCTTCTTTGGGCTGAAACTTTCTATCCCTGGTCTCTATCCCAAGATGAATTAATTCTTTTTAGCTAGTTTGATCAAAAACCATGCAGCTGTTTTTTAAGCTTAAAGAGGGTAGAGAAGAAAATTTGGTATTTTTAAGACTTGTGGTGATCTCTTGAGTAAGGTTGGGAAAGAAATCTCAAAAACAGATGCCTCTCTAGGCATCCATAGTCCCTGAGGTCTAAGGGGAGCTTGGCTGAGTTTAGAGCATTCTGAACTGTGCTGTAGCTGTGTGTTAAGTTTTAATTGGGGATGTGAGCCCCAGTGTGTCTGTGCATGTATGTGCAGCTATTTAACTGTGTGGTGCTCCCAACCAGCCTAAAACACCCACGGCAAAAGGGTTCTTTTCCTTCTCGTCAAAATACCTGCTTGGCCTGGGGGTTGATACAGGGCTGGAAGCTACTTATTCTGTGCCCACCATTCCCACTCGCTGGCCTTAACACGACTGTGAGCTCAACAAGTGAACTCCTTGCTTATTTAGTGAGGCCTTTTACCCACCTCTTGAGAGAAGATAATGTCAATAGCTCCATTTGACAGATAGGCTGACAGGCAAAGAGGGGTTAAGCCCAAGGCAGAGCTGGGACTAGAATCCGTCTGTAGTCAGCTGAACCCATGTCTTTCCATCACTGTGGTGCCCCCAGGCGAATTGCAAATTAACCCTCTAGGCCTTAGTCTTGGTTCCCTACCTAACCCTGTGCAGTCATTTATACAGCGCAAACTGAAAGTGAAATCTTTCTGTTCTAATTCAGTAGTGTTTCACTTCATACTGGTGCACATCACTGCCCATGGTGCATGGCAAGCCCACATCTGATCCTCTGAACGGGATTAGTAACGTTTAACCACATTTGCGAAAAGGTTTCAGACCTGCAGATGGAAAAATGCTAGTATAACTGCACAATGAATGTGTTATGTCTTCCCCTCTGTGTCAATCCACAGAGCATATGAGCTGGTTGACCCCCCCTCGGTAGGCAACCTTGTCTCTTTAGCTCAAGCTGTAAAGACTCGTTCTGTTAGTTCTGAGGGTCCAGAGTTCAGCCCCCTGGCATGTCAATCAACATGGTGTAAGTGTAATGTACTATTATGATTTTCCCCATTTTACGAGTTGGGAAAACTGAACCACGTGGAGCATGAGGTTCTTGCCTAGCAGACTCTGTGCCCTGGTTTCCAAACTGTACTCCATGAAGCCCTTGGCAGAGGCCTGTATAGAATCAACTGTTCATATGGTGCTGGCTTCTCCTTCTGGTTTCTAGCTGCTAAATCCTACTGAAAGAAGATTAAATGTTTTCCCAGGATTACTTCTCCATCTAAAGATTGCTGGAATTGCCTCAGGGATGTTTGTGATTGAGTCACAGGGGTTGGGGAGCTGGCATGTGAGCATGAACAGGAGAGAAGATATATTTGAAAGGTGTGCTCCATGTTGAGAGATAATTTGAGAACCTTTGATCTAGGGAACTAGGCAGTAGCTTCCTAGATAGAACTCCTCCGTTCTAGTCCTGGCTATGTCACCTTGGGCAAGTACATTATTTTCTCCATTTGCCCCAGTGATAAAATAGCAGGCACTGTCTTTTTGGGGTGTGTGTGTATAGCAACTAGCGCCATGGGATCCTGGTTCTGGGCTAATGCTCCTAAATGCTATGGTTATACAAATAATAATTAATAATTAATGGCAGTGTTAGTTCCTGCTGGAGGCTGTGAGGAATAATATATCATGTTTGTACAGTCCTCAGAAAAGCCCTGTGTTGTTGTTAGTCATCACATGCTGCCTGTAGTTTGGAGGAGCAGAGAGCAGCACTAAACCGCACAGGATCTGGTCTTGGTCTGCTGCCTTCCACAGAGTCTAGAAGAAGGGGGAAGAGGTGCTGGTTATATACATAGGGAAGGAAAAAATTACATTAAAGCAAAACAAACACTTGGAAGTTAGGAAATGCCAGAATTAAGGTCGCCTGTGCAACCTTAACTCTACCTCCTTGTGCGTGTGCATTGGGATACGGTCTTTAATTATATGGCCACAGATTGTGTTTTCCACATGACCCCCACCTTATTCAGTGCACAGGATGGATGATGCTCTGCGAATGACGTTGTGACAGGTTGGATCACAGAAACCCCCGGGAGCTGCCACCTGATGTGCCAAGACTACTTCTGCCCCTGCTTTCCCTGCCAGCCTGGTCTCCCCAGCACACTGTCTTGCTGAGCGAGACACGCCCGTCTGCTCCAACACAGACCCAGAGTCTGAAATACTTGCCCCAAAGCTGCAGACTTAACTGAAAGCAGCTCACAGAAGTGTTCTTATCTATAACACTCAGATGCCCAACACCCAATGGGGTCTAAACCCAAATAAATCCGTTTTACTCTGTATAAAGCTTATACAGGGTAAACTCATAAATTGTTTGCCCTCTATAACACTGATAGAGAGATATGCACAGCTTCCTCCCCTCCCCTCCCCCCCCAGGTATTAATACATACTCTGGGTTAATTAATAAGTAAGAAGCAATTTTATTAAATACAGAAAGTAGGATTTAAGTGGTTCCAAGTAGTAACAGACAGAACAAAGTGAATTACTAAGTAAAATAAAATAAAACACGCAAATCTATGTCTAATACAGTAAGAAACTGAATACAGATAAGATCCTCACCAGTTCCAGAATGCTCCCTTTTACAGACTAATCTCCTTCTAGTCTGGGTCCAGCAATCACTCACACCCCTTGCAGTCACTGTCCTTTGTTCCAGTTTCTTTCAGGTATCTTTGGGGGTGGAGAGGCTTTCTCTTTAGCCAGCTGAAGACAAAATGGAGGGATCTCCTCTGGGCTTAAATAGACTTTCTTTTGTGGGTGGAGACCCCCTCCTCTCTCCTATGCAAAATCCAGCTACAAAATGGAGTTTTGGAGTCACCTGGGCAAGTCACATGTCCATGGATGACTGAGTTCCTTACCAGCCAAGCCACATTCCTGGGAAAGCCCAAATGTGGATTGGTGTCTCCAATGGGTGGCACCGTTACAGATGTCGCTATTCTTTATTTCCTATCAATCAGCGCGTGGCCCCTGTCTTATTTATTGCCACCATCCAAACCCTGCTCTCAGTGTGGAATGATTTATTTCCTCCTGGGTTCTTCCACACTGCTCATAACTGCACTGTCTGAGCATCTGTAGTGTATTTCTCCTCTTGGCTTGCCTGCATGCTCACAGATCTACCTCTACCTACCTCACAAGAATGGGAGTCTAAGTGTTCACATATTTGGATGACTGATTATTTTGCAGGAACTCCTTTCTACAAGTAGCAAACAGCATTCAATAGATCTTTTTTCTGTTCGCATGCTTGGGACTGTTAATAAATGAAGAAAAGTCTGTACTAACCCCAGCATAGAGAATAGAGTTTATAGAAGCCTGTGATGGGGTATCCATCCCACACAGGACTGGAAGGGTGTAAGATGGCCACATGGGCTAATTAACTCCACAGGCTGCAGCTGGAGGACAGGGCTGGCTCCAGGCACCAGCTTACCAAGCAGGTGCTTGGGGCGGCCACTTTGTAGAGGGGTGGCACGTCCAGCTGTTCGGTGGCAATTCGGCAGATGGTCCCTCACTCCTGCTCGGAGCGAAGGACCCCCCGCTGAATTGCCGCCGCAGATCGCGATCGCGGCTTTTGTTTGTTTGTTTGGCTGCTTGGGGTGGCCAAAACCCTGGAGCCGGCCCTGCTGGAGGAGGAGCCAGGGAGCAGGGAATTGATTGGAAGCAGGCTCAGCTGTGGTGGCCTATATCAGCCAGGAAGCTAGCTACAGAAGGGGCTGCAGGAAGGCAGGCTGCAGTCACTCCCTGGGAGGAGAGAGGTGTGTTCTGGAATATAGAGAGTAGTCCACAGTTACTCCCTGAGAGGAGGGATTTGGGAGGCTGGTGAACCCAGAGAGGGGGGAAGCCAGGAAGGTAGGAAAGGCTCCGGAGAAAGCAGCAAGGTAGAACAGTGCAGGCCTTGGCTACTGATCGGAGGGCCCCTGAGCTGGAACCCAGAGTAGAGGGCATGCCCTGGTTCCCCTACTCGCCACTGGGGATGTGACACCGATTAGGCAGAGGACAGTGGACTGCCTGATTTGTTCTGGAAAGACTTTGCTACGTACCCTCCACCCCACGGAAGGGGAACCATACAGTGGCCTGGCTGGAGGACTGAATCGCGAAGAGGAGGCTGTGGTTCTTGGAGAGAGAGGGGTCCGCAGGATGGGAGGACAGCGGGAGAGACACTGCCAGAGGAGGGCACAATGCCTGGCCAGAGCTAATTCCCAGGATGGCCAGGAAAAGGTGCCACCAGTGGTGAGTGGACCCTGTGACAAAGCCATTCTGGATTCCATGACAACAATGACCTACCTATCCAGAAAAGTTTGGAATAATGCTCAACCTTTGTACTCAATAGCAGCCTTAACTGTGATGTTACCCAGGATACAATCTGGATTGTTGAACAGCTGTGTTCCCTTAACTCTCTAGCCTGGGATGCCT